CAATCCTAATTTGCCCTCAAATCTAGAGCCTAACCCCTCTCCTTGGTTCCCAAGGATACAATCCCAGGGTGGCCCCAATCCCACTCAGTGCATGACCCCTACCCATTGTCTCTATGACCAAAATCCTAGTCTGCTCTTAAACCCACTCACAGTCAGACCTTTCACCATGGTTTCATGGCCACAATCTCAGGCTGGACCCAACCCTACTCAGACCATGATCCTTCTCCCTCTTCCACAATCCACAGTCTGTCTGGCACCAAACCTACTAAGAGCGTGAACAGTCTTCATTGTCTCCATGGCCAGAATCTTAATCTTCCCACAACCATACTCAGAGCCTGACCGATCTCGATGGTCCCCGTGGCCACAATCTCAGTAGGCCCCAACTGTACTCAGAGCCTGACCCCTCTCCATGGTGGACATGGCCACACTCGCAGTAGGCCCCAACCCTACTCAGAACCTGACCCCTTTGCATGGTCCACATGGCCACACTCCCAGTAGGCCCCAACCCTTCTCAGATCCTGACCCCTCTCCATTGTCCCCATGGCCAGAATGCTAATCTATACCCAAACCTACTCAGGGCCACCCCCTTGCAATCATATCCATGGCCACAATCCCACTAGGCTCACATCCGACTCGATGCCTGACCCCTCTCTCTGGTCCATATGGCTATATTCCCAGTGTGGTGCCAAATCTACTGAGAGCCTGATCCCCCTTCATCTTCCACATGGCCACAGTCATAGTCTAGCCCAAAACCGACTTATAGCCTGACCCATTTCCTATGTCTCCATGTCCTCATCTGCCCTGGAACCTATTCAGAGCTTGACCCCTCTTCATGTTCCCCAAGGCCACAATCCAAGTCTAGCCCCTAACCGAATCAGAGCAAAACTCCTCTCCACGGTCCCCAGGCAACAATCCTACTCTGACTACATACCTACTCAGACCCTGAAGCCTCATCATGCTCTCCAGGCTAGAATCCTTGCCTGCTCTCAAACCAACTCAGAACCAGGCCCCTCTCCATCGTGTCTGTGGTCACAATCCTAGCCTTGCCCCAAACCTACTTAAAGCCTCACCCCTCTCCATCGTCTCCATGGTCACAATCCTAGTCTTTTGCCAAACCTACCCGGAGCCTGATCCCTCCTTTGTCCCCAGGGTGGCAATCCCGGTAGGCCCCAAAACTACTCTGATCTGACCCCTCTTCTTGTCTCCATGGACCAAATCCTAATCTGGGCGCCAACCTATTCAGCGCCCAACCCCTCTCCTTCATTTCCATGGCCACATTCCAGTCTAGCCCCCAACCTTTTCACAGCGTGTCTCCTCTTCAAGGTCTTCATGGAGACAACCAATTCTGGCCACAAACCTACTCAGAGCTTGACCCCTCATAACGGTTACCACAGTTAGAAACCTAGTTCCCTCAACCTACTCAGAGCCTGACCTCTGTCCATGGTCCCCATGCATTCCAATAGAGTCTGGCCCCAAACCTACTCACGGTCGGTCACCTCTGCATTGTCTTCGTGCCCACAATCATAGTCTGGCCCCAGAACTACTCAGAGCCCGACCTGTCTCCATGGTTTCCAAGGCCAGAATACTAGTCTGGCCACAAACCTACCCAAGGCCTGACCCCTCTCTACGGTCCACATACCCCAATACCAGTCAGGCTCCAAATGTACTCAGAACCTGCATCCTCTCCATGGTCCGGATGGCTTCCAGCTCAGTCTGGCCCCAAACCTACTCAGAGTGTGATCCCTCCATGGACAGATAGCCACAATCCTAGTTTGATCTCAAATCTAGAGCCTAACCCCTCGCCATTGTCCCCATGGCTACAATCCCAGTCTGGCCCCAATCCTACTCAGTGCCTGACTCCTCTCCATTGTTTCTAGGCCAAAATCCTAGTCTGCTCCCAAACCTACTCAGTCAGAGCTATCTCCATGGTTCCCGTGGCCACAATCTCAGGCTGGATCCAACCCTATTCAGAGCATGATCCTTTTCCCTCGTCCACATATCCACGGTTTCTGTCTGGCAACAAACCTATTCAGAGCCTGAACCCTCTTCATCGTCTCCATGGCCAGAATCCTAATCTGTCCCCAACCCTACTCAGAGCCTGACCCCTCTCCATAGTCCACATGGCCTTATCCCAGTAGGCCCCAACTGTATTCAGAGCCTGTCCCATCTCCATGGTACACATGGCCACAATCCCTGTAGGCCCCAACCTGACTCAGAGCCTGTCCACTCTCCATGGTCTACAAGGCCACAATCCCAGTAGGCCCCAACCCTACTCAGAGCCTGACCCCTCTCCATGGTCCACATGGCCACACTCTCAGTAGGCCCCAAACCTACTCAGAGTCTGACCCCTCTGCATCGGATCCATGGCCACAAACCTAGTCTGGTCCCAAACCAACTCAGAGCTTGACCCCTGTCCATCATCTCCTTGGCCAGAATCAAAATCTGCCCCCAACCCTACTCAGAGCCTGACCCCTCTCCATGGTCCCCATGGCCACAATACTAATCTTTACCAAAACCTACTCAGGGCCAACCCCTTGCAATCATCTCCATGGATACACTCCCAGTCAGGTTCCCATCCTACTAAATGCCTGACCCCTCTCCGTGGTCCACGTGGCTGCAATCCCAGGGTGGCGCCAAATCCACCGAGAGCCTAATCCCTCTTCATTGTCTCCATGGCCACAGTCATAGTCTAGCCCAAAACCGACTTATAGCCTGACCCTTTTCCTATGTCTCCATGGCCAGAATCCTCATCTTCCCCGAAACCCAGTCAGAGCTTGACCCCTCTCCATGATCCCCATGACCACAATCCAAGTCTGGCCCCGTAACCTAATCAGAGCATGACTCCTCTCCATGCTCCCCAGGGCCACAATCCTACTCTGACTGAAAACCTACTCAGACCCTGAAGCCTCATCATGCTCTCCAGGCTAGAATCCTTGACTGCTCTCAAACCAACTCAGAACCTGACCCCTCTCCATGGTGTCCATGCTCACAATCCTAGCCTTGCCCCAAACCTACTTAGAGCCTCAGCCCTCTCCATCGTCTCCATGGTCACAATCCTAGTCTTTTGCCAAACCTACTCGGAGTCTGATCCCTCCTTGGTCCCCAGGGTGGCAATCCCGGTAGGCCCCAAACCTACTCTGAGCTGACCCCTCTTCATCGTCTCCATGGACAAAATCCTAATCTGGGCCCCAACCTATTCAGTGCCCGACCCCTCTCCCTCGTTTCCATGGCCACAATCCCAGTCTGGCCCCCAACCTACTCACAGTGTGTCCCCTCTTCATGTTCTTCATGGTCACTACCCATTCTGGCCACAAACCTACTCAGAGCCTGACCTGTCTCAATGGTCCACATGGCCGCACTCCCAGTAGGCCCCAACCCTACTCATCGCCTGACCCCTCTGCGTCGTATCCATGGCCACAAACCTAGTCTGGTCCGAATCCTACTCAGAGCTTGACCCCTGTCCATCATCTCCATGGTCCAAATCCTAATCTCCTCCCAAACCTACTCAGAGCCTGTCCGCTCCCCTTCTTCTTCACGGGCAAAATCCAAGTCTAAAGCTCTCAAGGTCCCATTTAGCACTCAAGTGGTGTCCTGCTCACCTGCTGCATCACCGCTGGCCCAGAGCAGTGTAGTGTCTGCACCGTGGTCAGAGTGATTCTGGGGCAGGAGTGATTCTATCACATGACTTCCCTGTCTAAGCCTTCTAGGGGAGTCCTGTCCTCTCCAGGACAGATCCACACCTATCACCAGGACCCAAAGACCCCCTATGGTGAGCACCCCATCCCCTAGGTCATCTGCTCTCTTTTCCCCTCTACTCACCATCCTGCAGCCATAACGTCCTTCCTTCCATTTCTGGAAGATTCCAAGTCCATCCCTCCCTCAGGTCCTTTCTAGGTTGTTACGGGTTGCATTACATCCCTGCCAAATTTGTGTTGGAAGTCTCACTCCCCGGGTCCTCCAAAAGTAACCCCATATATAGAAGGAAGTGCTCCTTACAGAAGTACTGAAGTGCCCATGAGCTCAGTTGCATGGACCCTCACCCAGTATGACTGGTGTCCGTATACAATCACAGACAGGCTTGTGAGGACGCAGGCGAGATCTAGAAGCCATGGGATGCCAAAGGTGGCCGGCAAATCACCAGACGCTGGGGGGCAGGGCGGAACACATTGTCTCCCAGCTCTCAGAGGAGGCATATTCAGCCGACGCCTTGAGCTCGGACTCCCAGCCCCCAGAAGTGGGAGACAATTCATTTCTGTTGTCTAAGCCACCCAGTCTGCGGTAGTTCAATACAACCACCCTGGCAAGCTAACACAGAGGGTGGAAGCTGTGTCCTGGACAGCTCCACAGGGTGCACGGTGATTTCTCCATCGACGGCACATCCAGAATATTCCTTCATGTCTGGACATCTCCATCTGTCCTGTGTTTCACTGCCTGTGTGGCATCCCGTTGTCGGCTGTCCCACAACTTACTGGCTACTCCCTTACTGACGGAGAGTCGCAGCTGCTTTGCACTTTCCGCCACTACAGAGGACATCCTCACAAACACTCACTGGCATAGGACTTGTTTAGAAGGCGGCTAGGGTCACGGCAGGGGTGTCTGAGATGCTGACACATGCCCGCACACGGCCTTCCACCAAGGCTCACCTGTGTATGCTCCCCCCAGCACGGGCAAGGGCTCCGTTTCCTCACTCAGCTGTCGGCCCTGAGCACAGTTACTCTGCTCACCCCTTGCCAACCCGATGGGTGACAAAGGGTCGCCCTGGTCACTGGCGAAGGATTATTCACGAGAGAGGCTGGATGTCCTCCCTCCACCCCCCAGCACGGCCTGGCCCTTTCTCTTTCTTGTACTGGGGCATGTAAGTGGACTGCAGTTTTGCCTCATGTCTGCCATTCAGGGTTTTGGCCAATCCTTTTCTCACCAGGACAACTGAACTGTGTTGGGGGAACCCCTAGAGGGATGGATCTGTAACAGGTGCCCTCCTGCCTCAGCATGCAGAGTACCTGCTTTGTGGCCTGAGGAGGAAACGCTATTCCACTTCTCTGGGCTTCTTCACCTGCACAAGGATTGGGGGTGGGTGGGTGGAGGAGAAAAACTCTTTAGGTACAAGACGACAATGTTGGCTAACATGCCAGAACAGGCTTTCTACTCAGCAGGGATGGGGGGCCACTGGCACTGAGGAGGGCCCGCCAGATGGGAATCACCCCTCATGGTTTGGTTCTGCTAATCATGCCCCAGCCGGCAGCAGAGAAAATCATTTCACGTAAGCAGATCATGTTCGCACAGCCTAGCCCGCCCCGAACCCAACAGGAGAAAGAAGACACCACCCCCCTTCCACCGTCACAAGATTTGGGCGCCCTGCAATCCGGTTCCCCTCAATAAAATCCTGAGTAGGCCCCACGGGGATGAGTGCCAAGGGCAAGCAGCTCAACGCCGCACAGCCGGGGGGGGTCCTCGGTGAGGCAGGTCACAGCCTGGGGGCCCAGGGGGAGGCGAGGAGGGGCACAGTGAGGGCAGAGTGGTCCGCGTGGACCGGCACGCTCACGTTTCTTGGCGCGCACATCCTTCCCTGGTATATGCACTTAGAAAGGTGGGGGGCCTTTTGATTGTGGCGGGGGAAGGGGGCAGGGAATGGTGGCCTGGGCCGCTCTGCGCATGCTCCCAGACCCCCCGCCCCGCCCCGCCCCGCCCCCCGAGTCCGGGAAACCCCAGCCCAGGGGTACTGTCCCACGCCAGGTGAAGCAGGCGGGGGCCACAAAGGCTTCCTGGCTCCCCTCGCAAGGGGTGGGGGCGGGCCTCCGGGCACCTGTCCCACCGGCCAAGCGAGCCAAGGGCGCGCTAGGCCCACCTGGCAGTCCCAGGGCGCGGGGGACCACCCCGCCCCCCCCACGCTCAGGCGAGGAGACGAGGCGGGCAGCGGAGAGACGACAGAGCGCCCTGCCCGCGTCGGGACTGTCCCGCCATCGCTGCGGCCCAGCACCGGGGACCACCGACAGGTGACAGGCGACAGGCGCCACCGGCCCCTCACCTGATAGGCTCGCACAGACGCCGGCGTCCTGTCTTTGCGTGGCGTACGCCGGCTCGAACCCACGTACGTCCTTACGCGCCCACGGGGGTACGCAGAAGGCTCGTGCGCAAGCCCGTAGGCACGCAGCCAAGCAGTTCCGCACACACGCACTTACGTGCACACGCACATAGGCGCGCAGGCCCCGGCCGCTAGACGTCGTTGGACTCACGCGGCCCCGACTCGCGCGGGAGGATCAGGCTGGACCGGGAGGTAGACGCCGGCGGCCTGAGCGGAACCGGAAGGAAGAAACAACGGGGTGGGGCGAGCGGTCGGTGAGAAGGGGCGGGGCGAGGCGAGCTTGGGGGCGTGGTTGTGGGCGGGGCTAAGGGGCGGGGCTGGGGAGGAGAATGCGGGGCGGGCCTGTGGGAAGGAGCTGTGGGGGCGGGAGCTGTGAGACGGGGCTGGGGGAGTAGCTGGGGCGCACCTGCCAGAGGATTCAGCCCCGGGTGTGAGAAAGAGTTGGGGAGGAACTAGGGCAGTGAGCGGGAAGGAGCAGGACGGAGCCGGCGGCAATGTTGCGGAGGAGGTGCTCTGCCAAGAGCAGGTTGGGCCTTGGCGGTGTAGCCGGGGGAGGTGCACGGGGTTCTGGGGAACGCTGGGTAAGCGGAGCTTGGGGCAGAGCACAGGACTATCCGTGGGCCCCTGGGGATGAGGACCTGGGGAGTTGTAGGGCAGGGTGGGAGACCCTGGAAAGGCAAACTTGGAGTAGGGCGTGTCTGGTGGAAAGCTCGGAGGAAGAGCTGCGGCCGAGCGGGGCGGGGCTGGGAAGGGGCAGGGACGGATTGGCCGAAGGGTTGGAGAAGTAGCTCCCAGCGGGGTCTGGGGCTGGAGCACGGCTCGGGGCAGGAGCTGTGGAGGTGCAGGCGGGACTGAGGCGGAGCAGAGGCTGGGAGGACCAGGAGGGGGCTGGGGAGGGGTAGGGCGAGTTGAGGGAAGGCTGGGGGGAGGAGCTGGGGCGGGGCTAGGGCGGAGCATGGAGGGCCTGTTTGGGTACCTGGCGGAGGTGGGGCGAGCCGGAGGACAGCTGTGGGGAGGAGCTGGGGAGGAGCGGGGTGGGCCTGGTGGAATAGCTGGGAGGAGGAGCTGCAGAGGAACTGGCGCGGCTCCGGGTGGGGGTGGGCGGCTGGGTGAGATTCTTAGTGTAGCTGGGAGGCGGGGCTGGGGAGGAGCTGGGCGGGACTGTCGGGGGAGTTGGGAGGCGTGGCCGTGGGGGGCGGGCAGGAGTAGTTGGGGGGGTAGTTAGGAGGCGTGGCCAGGGAGGGGCAGGCCGGAGTGGTGGGCGGAGGGACGGGTCGTGGCTGGGACGGGGTGGGCGGGGAGGCGGGGCTTGGCCGGGGTTGGTGGGGCCGGATTGGTGGGCGGTCGGGGGCGTGGTCCGGGGGCGGGCAGGAGTGATGGGCGGGGGCGGGGCTTGGCCGGGGTTTGTGGGTCCGGATTGGTGGGCGGCCGGGGGGCGTGGCCGGGAGGGTCCTGCGGGGATGACGGGCGGGGGAGGCGGGGCGTGGCCGGGGAAGGGCGGGCCGGAGTGGTGGGCGCTGGGGGGGGCGTTGCCCGGGGGGGCGGGCAGGAGTGATGGGCAGGGGGCGGGGTTAGCCGGGGTTGGTAGGGCCGGATTGGTGGGCGGCCGGGGGGAGGGGCCAGGAGGGGACTGCGGGGAGGAGGGGCGTGGCCGGGGAGGGGCGGGCCAGAGTGGTGGGCGGTCGGGGGGCGTGGTCCGGGGGCGGGCAGGAGTGATGGGCGGGGGGCGGGGCTTGGCCGGCGTTGTTCGGGCCGGATTGGTGGGCGGCCGGGGGATGTGGCCGGGAGGGGCCTTCGGGGATAGTGGGGAGGGGGGCGGGGCGTGGCCGGGGAAGGGCGGGCCGGAGTAGTGGGCGCTGGGGGGGGGCGTTGCCGGGGGGCGGGCAGGAGTGATGGGCGGGGGGCGGGCTTTAGCCGGGGTTGGTAGGGCCGGATTGGTGGGCGGCTGGGGGGCGTGGCCGGGAGGTGCCTGCGGGGAGGGGCGTGGCCGTGGAAGGGCGGGCCAGAGTCGTGGGCGGTCGGGGGGCGTGGTCCGGGGGGGAGGGCAGGAGTGATGGTCGGGCGGGAGGTCCCGGGGCTTGGCCGGGGTTGGTAGGGCCGAATTGATGGGCAGACGGCGGGGGGGGGGGGTTGCCGGGGAGGGGCCTTCGGGAATGGTGGGCGGAGGGGCGGGGCGTGACCGGGGAGGGCGGGCAGGAGCGGTGGGCGGTTCGTGGGCGCAGTCAGGGGTGGGCGGGGCGGGAGTGGGTCCCGGGGAGCGACGCGGGGGCTGGGACTGGGCGGCCTGGTGGCCGAGGCCAGGTAGTGTCTGACCCCCGTGCGACAGGCATCAAGTCGGCGCCGCAGCGGTGTGAACAACGTGGCTGCCCCAGGGACCTCAGCGACCTCAGGTGACTCTCAGAATGGACTCCCGAGAATACGGAGGCGGGGAGGGGCGGAGGGCGGCGGGGACGTGTCGGGTGAGGCCTGCCCCTTGGGAGCTGATGGCAGGGGCGGGCGAGTCTCCTTCCAAGCCACCCTGGGACGGCCAGCGGGGTCTGTATCTGAACTTTTTTTGCAGGTGAGAAGAGAAATTCTCCTGTGTTTCCTGCTGCGCCTCTAACCTGACCTGCGCCAGATGAAGCCAACTGCCCTGTCGGTGCTGTTTCCTATCCTCTACCTCCCAGTCAGGGGCTCCACACACTCAGTGTTGTGGCGCTTTGCTCCTTGGGTTCCCTTACCCTCACCCTCCTTCTGTAGTTGGTTGGTGACCGAGTCCTGTGTCCCTGCCTCCCACATGCCTGATCAGAATAAATTCTCCTCTTGCTGTCCCCAGTGCTACTTCCTTGAGTTCAGACCTGCGGTCTGCACCTCCCCACCTGCCTGGACATTTCCGTCTTTTCTCCTTTTTTGGGGTCACTTTTCCAGAATATTCAGGTCACCCCTAGTACATCTGAGTGGCCTGCAATTTAGCCTTTTATGGACACCTTTTACAAAGCACAAAAACCTCTTTTTCAGCTATCCCTCTCCCTCCCAGTTCCCCATCTCTATCCATGGAACAAAATGAGCAGTAAGAAATGGAGTACACAGAGAATCCTTAAGGAATTACAATTTCTGGAAGAATCTCTGGTGCCTCTGGTGTTTCCTGACTTCTCTCCTAGCTGGGTACATTGCCTATATGACCCAGGAACTTTTCTAACTCCTCTCTGGCCCCTGTGTGACCCCAACCTAAGTTAACTAACATTTAAGTTAACTAACTTAACAGGCCTAGCTTAACTGTGCTTCCTAAAACACAACTCTGCCCAGGACTTGCCCTGGCTCCTTATGCTTAGCATTCAAGTGCCTAAATCTCTCTGGCCTCAGTTTGTCCATGTGTCAAATGAGGATAATAAAACAGTCCCCAGATTGTGGGATTACTATGAGCACTGAATGGGCCCAGCTTAGCCGTCATCCTAAGCTCCTTGAGGCTGTAGTCATAACACGGTTCACGACAGCCCTCCTGTCTTCTTGGGCATAGGTGCCCCTCCAGTCTCGCTGCCTGGACACTCCCCCAGTTCCCAGCACTCAGTGCCTCTGCCCTCTGCACTGTTTTCTCATGGCGGATACCTTCCTTCACTTCCTGTGGCCTCATGAAGCTTCTGCTAACTGTCTGAGCCTAGTCGCAAGACCTGATTTTTCTTCCTGACAACTTTCCAGAACCTTGTCTGTGGTACTGCTTTTGTGCAAGGTTACCTCGGGCAGTTTCTGTTCTGTTCTGTGTGTGTGTGTGTGTGTGTGTGTGTGTGTACACGTGTGCCCAGTTACTACAACTAGACTGGATTCCATCTGAAAATAAGGACTCTGTCCACTGCACCTTTGTCCTATCCTCAGAGCCTGCTTCTGCCAATGGAGACACTCACTAGATGTTGACTGATGATGGTGATAAACTGTCCAATTCGAGTCAGCCAGGATTCATCGACTCTACCATGACGAGCTACTGGACCATGCTGGACTTGGCGGATGGGTGGCATAGGCCCTGCCCTGGACTCAGTGCATCCTAGTTGGATAAGAAAGGCAAGTATGTCAGTAACTCTCATTTAAGGTAGGACCAGACATCATCCACAAAAAGAACTATCTGTGAAGTGCTACGAGGCCTTAGGGGAGGCCAGCATGCACCTCACTGGGGGATCAGGAAGTTTGGAGAGGCAGGCTGGGTCTGAGCTGTGTATTGAAGAATAGGTAGGATTTAAGGAGTTGGTGATCCAAGGGTCCCATCCTGAGAAGCCCGCTCCTGCCTAGAAAGACGGGAGATTGGTGACGAGGAAGACTAGCCCAAGCATAGAAGTAGGCAGTGGTGCTTCTGACATCTTACTTCCTTTAGTCCTTGAATCAACCTGGCGATCTAGCTGCTGTTAGATCTGCTTGCCAGGTGAGAAAACCAAGAGCACAAGAGGCCAAGGGACTTGGCTAAGATCTCTCACTTGGCTGGGGGTGATTTAAACTCAGGGTTGGAATTTAAACTCAGGATGGGCCCACCCAGAGTCCGTGTGGCCATCATACAGGTTGGGAACACATGAAATGCACTCTGAGCCTGGTGCCAATGCTGTCATCCTGCTGCTGTGAGCTATGCTTCTGAAGGGTATGGCTGGCCCTGGGCCTAGTATGTGTTCTCGTTTCCCATTTGCAAGGCCATGGCTCAGCCTCCACCTGCTTCAGCTCCTTCCAGCTCCAATGCAACGTGATTTGGGGACTTTGAATTGTGTTGCTTGCCTGTGAGCTGGTCTGCTTCTTTCAGATTACAGGAGGGAATCAAAAGAGTACGTATTTCACAGGATATGCTTTATGATGGCTGTCAAAGAGTCAATTCTGTTGACTCCGCTGCGCCTGGTGCTCTCTGGAGTATAAGGAGAAGCTGAATCAAACGGGTGATGAAGGGTCTGTTGTGTTACACAACTGCCCAAAGGCACCATCCTTAAATTTTCATCCCCAGTACTATAGTTGAGAAGTGTCATTTCGGGTTTATGCATTTATTTTTACACTTGACTGTCTTGCTGATGATTCTCCAGGATGATCCAGGGTACCAGACTTCCTGTCACAAGTCTGTCGCTTGCTTCTAGGGATGTGTGTGGTCCAGGGCCATGTGACTTTAGAAACTGTATAACCATATAATTTAATGTCAGTTGTTTCCTTCTACGTTTTCCTACTGGGTAGAGCAGTGCTGGTGTGGAGGCGAGGGAGTGC